CCTCTCTGCTTGGACTTTGGGCAAGTTGTTTTGCTCTCTAACGTTTTAGGCAAGCTGTTTTGCCTTCACTGCAAAATGGACTGACAGTAACTTCTCATAGGACTGGGATTCTTAAGGGGGTCAGAGGCAGAACAACGTGGTTATAGAAAGCATGGGCACAGTGCCAATCTGTGTAGTTTTAAATCCTGCTTGGTCACTTGCTAACTTAATTTAACCACACTATGCCTGTGTCCTTACTTGCAAAAAAATAGACCATAGTAACGAATTCCTAGAGTGTTTGTAAGGATTAAATGAGTTAATGCAGAAAATGAGCTTAGAAGAATGCCAAGCTAAAGCAAGTACCCAACAAAAGTGAGCTGTAATTATTAGGGATTTGGGAACTTCAAATATTTGAGTTGAATTTAATGAAAGGAGAAGAGTAGACCAATTTTTTCTTTGAGAGACATTACAGTCTAGTAAAGGAAAAGGGCCAGGGCATCACTAATGACACAACTAGGGCAACAACATTGCCTATACCTCTGGGTAAGGTGAGGCATTTGTCCCCACAGTCTAGCAATTAAGGGAGCCAAATCTCACATGACTGACACTGGTTTGAGTCCTGGCCTCGGAGGCTTGAAAAACAAGCTGGGCACATGTACACACCCCAAATCATGATAGGATGGAGAAATGGAGGAGAAAGAATTGCAGCATGACATTAGGGGGTGCTATCTTCCTCTCTCTTTTTCTGGTGGGCACATATGCTCCTGGTAATGAATAATAATAGTAATATAATAATAATAGGACAAAAATATTATATGAATTTAGAAAGAGGAACAGCTACTGTGTTGCAGAGCATAAAGAAGAAGGTTGCTAATTTCTAAGGAAACGTGATAGAGGACAGAACTCAAAATGACAGTTACACTCAACCTTAAACAAAATTTGTAGAAGTTACACTTTCTTGTTTGGCTGGTGAAATCTCAGGCCACTTTGTAAGTAACCTAATTGCAGAGATGGCTGAGCGGTACCATCTATACTGTTCCCTTTGGCTGTAGAATGAGTGTACCAAGCTGTCTGAGTTCTGGCTTTAAGAAACAGAAATGCGGACTCTTTGATTCTTGCCATTCCCTACCCACCCTCGGGTGAAATTTCAGTCATCCAGGACTCCCAAAGGTGGAGGGAAGTGGTTATCAAAGCCTACTTCCCCATTTAGGCTGCTCCCCAAGCAGAAACTCCAGCTTGTTTTGTTTCTGCTGATATATAGGGAAGTATTTCTAACCACTTCCCCAAGGAACAAGGGCTACTGCTGCCTGAAGCCAAAAGTCTCTTCTCTCAAACGTAATTGTAGATTGGAGACAGGTCTCCTCTGGCTAGTTCTAACACATAAGTCCTTGTTTCTCAGCCTTTGAGAGCTGTTAAACAGTGACAGAGTTTGGAAATACCTAAACTTATTTCCAGGGCAATCATCTGGAAGGGTCTAGCTTTCTTTTTTTCTTTTCTTTTTTTTTTTTAAACTCATATCTGCTTAGTTTTTTATTTAGTGAAGTATAAAGGCCCAGTTAATCATCTCATTAGATTGGTCAAGGCAAGACACTTGAACTACACAACAGGATTTAAAAAGCAGTTGGTTTCTTAGTAGTTCTCTGGTAACCACACACACATGCACACACACATAAATTGGTAGCTACTCTGGATAAAGGACTTTCCCCCCAGTCTTATACAATGCCCTGTTCACAATCTGCTGCATTCATAAATTGGCCATGGCCAAATTAGAGGTGGCTGATATACTCTTATAAAGTGTTTGGAAATCTCAGCTCTATTCCCCAAAAGATTTTATTTTAAACTGTAAAAATCAAAACTCCACATAAAAGCGTTAACAGATTTAACAGATCCCTTTGGAAAAAGATAAATAAATTGTAACTCAACTTTCTACTTTTCCAAATATGAATAAGAAAAAAATTACAGGTATTAATGTCTACTTTTAAAAAAAGAACTATTCACTGGGTGAATTTGGGGGGAAAAAGCTATATATACAGTATTATTGCACTCCATGAATGTGCAGAATTCCAGAACGTGCCAGCACCGAACCACTATCTCGCACTGAGATTTTCCAAGAGGTAAAATGCATCTGCCAAGGAAGCATCTGGTCTGTACTAACAGCTTGCTATCTGCAGTACAGGCCTTCATGATGTCAGTCACGCTGCTCTTGCAAAAATCCCTTAATGTAAAATAGTTTTCAGTGCTGATAAGTGGGGCCATGATCGATGATGTGGGATTGAATCCATTTGTACATTGAGCTTCATTTCATTGTCAAGAATTTGAACGAGTTGTTGCCTGGATGGAAGGTGACCAGATTCCAACTTAGACCATACAGGCACATAATTTAAAGTTATCGCAAATGCACCTGTTGACATACACTGGTTCTCAATCACGTTGCTCAGGAAGAAAACCATCATGTATGTATAGACCTTATTTTCTTGGCCCCACTGCCAGATGCTAGGAGCTTGCATGTCAAAGAAAGTAAAAGGATCATAGCCTACAATTATTAAGCCTATTAATACTAATTTGAAGACTGACAGGAAAGTTGCTGTGTCTATATATTGGCTGAGGAAGGTAATTCTCTCCTTCAATGTAGATGTCTGAGTGCTGCTGACTGATAACCTGCATGTACTCCTCAAATACCCGCCTATATCCTCAGGAAACACAAATCTGGAACGTGAGCAGTAGCCCTGTGGTGTACTGCATCTTTAATCTCTTGTTGGGCATCCCGCCCAGGTTGACCAAGGCCTTACTCTGGACCACTGCCGAAGCCGCCACCAGGAGCAGCAGCAGAAGCCTCATCTTAACTGAGCCAGCAGCTTCAGCTGCCCTCAGACCAAGACTGCACTGGAAGGGTCTAGCCTTAAACACCACCCCACCAACTGACCGAACAAACTCCTTATGTTTATGCCAATTTCATCAATATTTAGAAAACAGGCTCTGAGTGGCTTAAACCAGTGGTCATCTTGACTTTAATGCCTTTATCCACACACTATGAACAAGTAGCCCTGCAACTTTTAGCCTTCCACTTCATTTCGCTTAATCTGGAGTTCTCTGATTATGAAATATGGGTGGGAAGTAGGTCCTTTGATTTATTTATTTATTTAAAGAAAGATTTTTGCTATGGGGGGTGTATGCTCACCAGAGAGGCAGAGACAGAAAGGGCAAAATCACCCCCTGGGGGGATGGTCATGCTGCAATCCCTTCTCTTTCATTCTCTTTTCAGGATTTTGGGCATGCATGCACATGTGCCTGGCCTGAGCTTTAAGTCACTGGATCTAGAACTCGACAACTGTGGTTGACTATGTAGGAATCCAGTGATGTAGCCATTATGCCATCTACTGGTCCCAGGTCTTTCGATTTCTAGAGCTTTCCTTCTCTATTGGTCTGGGCATCCTGCAGTCATTAACAACCTCATCAGGAATAGTCTCTGCTCAAGGTGAAACTCACCTGTTTTTAAGCAAAATTTTTATATGTGCTTATGGCTATGTAGTTGATTATTCTGATAAGATTTGGTCTTAAGTAGTATTTTCTCATCATTAAGTCCTCTAATTCAGGGACATTCTCTGGGAATTCCTATCCTGGGATAAATGTAGCAGAGCCATCAAGGTGTCTTCTTCCATATATAAAGGAGACGATCACCCTGCAGACCCAGCAGTAATGCTGCTGACTTTGAATTTATTTAATTTGCACATACAAGCCCTATCAATAGTTGGTGTCAGATTGTCATCCATGCAATCCCCGGTAATAATGAGATTGGGACACTCTGACAAAGCATGGTTATGCTGAGTAGGGAAGATTAGATATTCATTTGTCAGAGAAGCTGAAAGATTAGTTTTGCTGGAAGCTGCTTCTTACCTGCACAGGTGGGACTCTGGGCTTGCTTATTTCCAGTCCTGAGGACAGAGGGGGTTTCTTTTATTTAAAGACATTTAATTTATTTCTCAGAGCATGGGAGAGAGCAACCAGTGGCAGAGGTTCTACACCTCTGAGTATGTTTTCAAATCTCTCCCCAGTGAACTTACATTAGGCCAGCACAATATTTTGTTTTTATTTTAATGCATTTGAAGATGTTCTCAGTCTCAGTATTTTAAAATCAAATATGGACTGCTACTCTATATGCATCTGGTCTGTTTGAACCGTTTATGTTACCTGCTTGTTCTTTGAAAGCATTTGAACTATCATTTCTGAAAGAGTGGCCCTTACTTGTGCCTTCACTGAGTGCTCAGCACTTCCCATACTGATTTGTCCTCAAAACAGAACTGTGAGTTAAGTATTAGCATCTCCCATGTACAAATGACTAAACTGAGGCCCAAAGAGAAGAACTAGCCCAAGGCAAGAAAGCTAATAAATACCTCTGCCAATAAACTGAGCATCAAGCTGCATCTGTACATCTTAGTTTATTTGGATCTGGGTCATCTGGCCCGTTTTTTCCTTGCAACTATTTCGATTTACTCTTCCATATGAACAACCAAGACACCCGATTTGTTTCATCATGGACATCGTCATCATCATCATCTAACCTTGAACAACTAAGGATGACATGATCTGGTCTTTTCTGTAGGGATCTCCCCGGCAACCCCGCACCGTTTATTTCTGGGCCGATAACTTGCAAGCCATTGGCGAGTTCAGTGTGTTGATAATGTCTCCGCAGTAACTGCAGAAGGAAATTATGTTCGGCCCAGAGCAGACCTAGGGTGGGACTCACTTAATACTCATATTCAAATAGCTGAAACTTCAAGAGAGAGTTAGTATAAGTGCTGTCCATGGAAAGGCATAGCCAGGCAGAGTGAGTCTGAAGAAAGAACGCCAGTAATCAAAGCTGCCCATTAATCTTCCTGGCAAATCCGCCTCCCGGTACCTCACTCCTCCCCAAGCATCAACTGCTAGGTTTCGCTTGGGTGGAGCCTAGAGCTCCGCGCGCTCCCAGCGCCCTCGCGCTCTGGACGCTGTCCGAGGTCTCCCAGGCAACAGCAGACGCTGAACCCGGGCTAGGCAGCACAGCGACTCCTAAACTCAGTTTAGCTCTGCCTGGACCCGCTTCTGCCATGACTACCAAACAATCTAAAAGGAAAGAGGTGCATCGCATCAACTCGGCTCACGGATCAGATAAGTCTAAAGAGTAAGGAACCCTTCTTGCCTGTCCAGCCCTCCCCTGGCCCAGCCCCTAGGTCCTACCGCAGGTGGTAGCCCTGGAGGGCTCCTTCCCTGTCACACTGCCAGGGCAGGAGGGCAGCTGACCTCCTGGTAGCGTCTCTATCTTTCTTGGGAAACCAGACTCTGCAGTTGCTTGTGCCCACTCAGGCAGTTAGGAGGGTTGTAGCTTCCGTATGAAAGGGGTGTATCTCGAAAGACTTCCCGTTAAGGCACTGCTGCCTGGCCCCAGTAACCAGACAGACTGAGAAGCAGACAGACAGGTAGACACTTTTCATCTTAATGGTGATTGCGTCTATTCAATAGATTGTGTCTGCCCATTCCAACAACCAAGACTTTTAATCAGATGAAATAGGACATAAAATGACTTTTTAAAGTTAACACAATATAAATATATAGCTCATGTTGTCCGTACTTACTCTGAGAATGTATACAGATCCCAGATAATGGAATCTTTATAATGCTTCTCTGTCTCTCACTAGCATTAAGTGTTGTGTCTCTGTTTGTAACTCCCTATTATAATCAATTTTCCTTTGGTCCTTTTTTTTTTTTTTTTTTCCTTTTTTTACTTAGAGATATCCACTTATCAATAGCACAGGATTGGGGCTATTGTTTGAACTTACGAGATTTCTAAAATTCATTCCATTTCGGGACCAGCAGATGGCATAATGGTTATGTGGCTGGATTCTCATGTAGAAAACTGGGGTCAGAATCCTGGACCTGGTGACTTTATATTCACGCCTGGCACGCATGTGCTTGTGCCCAAGATCCAGAGAAGAGAATGGAGGAGAAGGGATTGCAACGTGGCCTAATCCTGTGGGATTATTGCTTGCTTTCTGTCTCTGGCAAGTGCACGAGCCCTATAGCAAAAATCTCTCTCTTAAAAAACAAAAAAAATCATTCCATTTCTGAGAGTCTGCCAGCTGTCATGGTTTCACTCATGTTCTTTATGCTCTCTGTGGGTATGAGCAGACATTATCCTTTCTTAAAATTTAACTTATTATTTTTACATAATTTTGCTATAGTGCACATGCACTTACCAGAGAGAGAGAGAGCACAAGAGGGAAAGTGAGAAACCAAGCTGCCAGGTCCAGGACTCAAATAATGGTTGGCCATGTGGGAATCCAGCACCTTACACATCATGCCACCTGCTGGCCCTGGCAGTACGTCACCTTTAAGTGGATTCTTTCACCCTTGTTGCCTACTTCTCCAGTTCCTTGTTTTCCTAAAAATCTCACATTGGACTTTGTCAATGACCCCTAGTATTTAAACTCTTCCCTTTGTGAAGTCTTCTCCCAGACTCTTTTCCATGCCTTTATTGTCTAGTCTGCTACTTCTGCTCTCTCTCATAAGCAGGTTTCCAGCTACCTGATAGGTAATTCATTCATTTTGTTAGTTTAACTTACAGGTACTATCTCACATGCATAAACTATTTCAATAGAATCTCTCTACTTCTGTGTACCAGTGTAAGTCAGGTCATTTTAACATCTTTAATGGCTTCCACTGTTACAGGTTTTAGGCCTCTGAGCTCACAGGATTGAGCTCCTATTACTTCTGACTTTCCCTTTCCCTTTTCCTTGAGCTTTAGACACACTCACCTCCTCTCCACTTGGTGGGACACCTCAGCTTTATTCCCACTGCAGGGCTTTTGCACATGCTGTTTCCTCTGCTGGAAAGCTCTTCCCTCCAGATAACCGTGTGGTTTTTCCTCTTCAGCTCCTTCAGGTGTTTCCCTAAATATCATTTGCCCCCGTCAGCTTCTTTGGCCACTGATTTAAAATTGCAAACTTTCACTTCCCTACCAAAACCAAAATCAGAGCCAAAAAAATCTCCCTGTCTTGCTTCATTGCTTTATTTTTCTCTTGATGTTTTTGCTCATTTAACATACTTCGTAGTTTACTTTTTAAAAATTATATTTTAAAATTATCTTCCCTATAAAATGTAGGTTCTAGAAAGGCACAGATTTTTTCTATTCTACCTTATATATTGTTGAATCCTTTGTACCTAGAGTGGGGCCTGGTGCATACGTAGTAGACACTCAGGAATGATTACTGAATAAATGATTGGGTGCATGTCTACATAGTAGTAGTTAAGAGATTTTAACAGGGTTATGAAAGCATTTTGAATATAGCTTAGTCAATGATGATTATAATTAATGCATATTTAAGGCTCACAACTCTTTAGGCATTTGAGGGAAATCTTCAACATTAAGGACCTTATAACCTAAAAAAGAGGAGATTGTTAACTCCCATAAAGAAACTGATCAAACAATTTATCATGAAACATATTATGTGGCCTGATTCTATAATGATTGTATCACACTATCGAGATACAATTCCTGCAAATATAACCTCCCTTGCCAGGATTTCCCTTTTTCTGTCTCTCTTTTCCTCTCTTCCTTCTTTCTTTTCTTCCATTTATTTTCCTCTTTTTTTTAGAATGACAATATATTTTAGCATGTTTATTTTTTCAGACAATATCCAAGTTAAATTACACCAGCAAAAATATATGTATATATTTGTGAAAATAAAAGAGAAATAGCAAAGAGTTTTTTTAAAAATGAGACTTTGCTAGAAACTATTAAACATTAAGCACCCTATTATTAGATTTTGTGATAGCATTAAATGATAGAATGTGAAGTCCATCATAAATAAATTCAGTTCCCTATATTTTATTGAAGAACTAGTCATGGACACCAGGCTAAATCATAGCCAAAGAAGGTGTTATCCTACATAGGACGCAGAGATCGATGTCTAACAAGGCTCCAGTGTGCTGTCATTTAAAACACACTGGGAAGGGTTAGAGTCAGTTTTTATGTCATTTTACTGCATATTATGGTTACACAGTCAATAACTGTAACCAAGCCTAGCATGGTCCTGGACAGGGAAATTAAAAATCTGCAAAGCCTTGAAAGTGACAATCCTGTAGTGATAATCCTGATCTTAGTCTCCTAGAGCTGCCATCTATAGCATTTCTTTTCTGCCCTAAAATTATGTGTTGGACTGGGGACACTGACTGAATCTGGCTTTTGCCTGATATAGTGAGTAGCACACAGTAAGCATTCATTCTGTTTATTAAATGGGCTCAGAGCTCAGTTATCTACCCTGGTTCTCATCCCTTCTGAATTCATTTGAGCCTAATTCTTCTTCCCTTTCATATTTCATGTGCTGTTAGCAAAGTTCAAAAGTTGAGTGGTTACAACTGATAATTGAATCATCTATGTCCAGCTATGACCGAATTTGTGAGTAAATATGACTTCAAATCAGGAAGAAAAATTATGCTCCGTAACTGACCTGCCATTTTTACATTAAACCACTTCTATTCTATTGATTCTCTCATTCTCTGGATCCACCGGTATGAAATCACTATTTGAGGGTTCACTCTGCCACCAATTCTTCTGTGACATTGGACAAGTAACCTATGCTGACATTTGATTTCCTCTTTAAATGAATGACTATCTAATTAAAATTGCTATTAGTACAACAATCTCTATCCTATCTTCCCTGCTTTATTTTTCCTCCAGCTCTAACCTTCCATTATTTTTTCAGTTTTATTTTGTTGTTTGCCAGGGTCTAGCCTTGGCGAGGGTGGGTTGACCCGTCCGAGGCGATGCTGGAAAAAAAGAAGACTAAGGCCTCAGTGCCTTTTTCATGCACGTCCTTAGCCAGACACCCCCAGAGATCACTCTCGGAGGAGTGACAACCGCTAGGAATTATCGTGCCCTTTTATCGAAAATGTGTTAGATACAAGTAAATGGGTGAGGGGCTACGTGTTCTAATTATCAGTTTAATAGGGATCATAGATTCCATTCAGGGTTGGATTAAGGGTGGGTCTATTGAGGTTCCGCAATTGTTCGTTTGATGTAGGTGGGTCTCCATGGAATGCAGTTTCGGGAAAGCAGTTCCAGTAAGCAGAGATAATTATCAGCTTATGCAGTGGCAGCCATCTTGTGATTACTGAACACGATGCTGAGAAAAGAAAATCTCAAGTATAGATATTAGTTCTTATGGATCTCAATAAAGAATGATACTTATATAGTTTTATAGGGATCTAAAACTTAATTTAAGAAATCCTAATATATTTATCTATTTCACTTGGTGAGGGTAGGGGTGGGTGTCCTGGGCCAGTTTCGGCCTAATCCTATTTTATGTAAAGAAAAGATTATCTTTAAGTTTATGTTAAATGTATCTTGAAGGACCTTCCAAAGGTCAAGATTATTTCTGCCTAGATAGAACTTTAGCCCACCCTCTATTGTGACCACGGAGATAAAGCATTGTAATTAACGGTACGTGATCAGGGCTGAGGGGAGTGGTCGGGGGACTTTTGGGAAAATCGCATTACATACTCAAGAAAGCTATGTAATTTTTTATAGTAGTATATTAGGGAGTCAGAGGGGGGTCACTTCCCAGCAAGGCTACCAGTTTCCAGAGCAAATAGCAAGCAGCCTTGCCGACATGCTAATTTGACCTAAGTTTTATTCCTACGGTGTGGGGGGAGTAGGTACACAGCAGAGGCCTTGCCAACATGCTGACCCAACCTAAAAGGTAGAGGTCAAAAGCTCAAAACAGATCCTGGGGCCCTACTGGGTCGGACTCCTCCAGTTGTTGTTTTCTTTTAATTTTTTTTTTTTTTTTGGTCCTCCATTCTCCTCTTGGGATTTTGAGCACACATGCATAGGCCCCCCAACATCAAGTTTTCAACTCGAACTGCAGTTGACCATGTGGAAGTCTAGCACTTTAACCACTTCATAATCTGCTGGCCCCCAGATCTTTATTTTTAATTACATTGGGCTTAAAATAAGTGAGTAAATTTTTTTACAGTGAAATCTTTTTTTTTTCTTTTTTTTTTTTTTTTGGAGAGGTTTTTGCTATAGGGCACGTGCGCTCGCCAGACAGACAGAGACATAGAGACAGAAAGCGAGAAATCACCCCCCAGGGGGGATGGTCACGCCGCAATCCCTTCTCCTCC